GAGTCGCGGGCTCGTCAATGCGCACGTGAAGCGCGGGCTCGTCGTGACTGACGTGAACCAGCGGTGAAGACGACGAGGGCTTCGCGGGTAAAGTACACTCGGCAGGTGTCGAGTAGAATAAGCGTGCAGTAGTGAAGAGGTCCTGCAAGGAACAAGCCCGAGCGACATACCCGTCAAGAGTCCAGTTGGCAAGGTCCCGCGGCATCCATCGAGTGATCTCATAATCCAGCCCATTCAGAAACAGGCCCATGAGCTGGATACAGTGGCGGTTCTACTTTGAATTACACCCAGGGCGAGACCCCCTTCGAGCGCCCCCCCCCCCCCCCCCCCCCCCCCAAAAAAAAAACCAAACAACAAAAAAAAAAAAAAAAAAAAAAAAAAACTAAACCAAAAATAAAATCACATTCCGTTCATTTGAAAAACACAGTTAATAGAATCCAGTTATTTTGCTAGATTTATCTAACTTTAAAGGGAGGAAGTAACCATTAGCGCATTGGTTATTGCTTTTGTAGCCCTATGTCACTCTTAAAATGTCAGAGAAAAGGACAGAATCAGAGATTATTTAGAAAATAGAAAATTGTACTTTGCATATTATAGGCTACTATAAAAACACATAAAGTTGACCATTATGTAAATTATTTTCATGAATATAGTGACCAACATGATCACATACACAGAATCTTGTTCAAAAAGCCTAATACACAATGAAATCAATTCACCAAGTTAATAACATTAAAGATTTTTTTTAAAGGAGTGTATCTTACCTACTAAACTTAAAAAAAAGGTTAACACAAAAGATTTAAAAAAAATATAAACCTCATATTTCAGCATTCAATCATCTCTATAAAAAGAATGAGTCAATAAAGATACATTCCTGACATTTATAATGCACAGTAGCTGATCTTTTATTATTAATACACTCTTAAAATGGATGTGTTAAAAACAACACAACCTGTGTTATATCTTAACACACCTGTGTGTCTAGTTAAGGACAACACATTTTGTGTTACTTTTAACTCAACCAGTGTGTTATTGTTCTTAACACAGGGAGTGTGATTTCACTAAGTTTGCACTTTGAATTAGATTAAAATGTAGCAACTGACAAAATATTGTGTGTAAATAAGTTTTATTTACACTGGTGCACTCTTATAAAATGATTTTGTAAATAACACAACCTGTAAAAAGAGATGTTAAAAATGACACATGCTGTGTAGATTTTAACACATAAAGTGTGTGTGCTTAGGGACAACACATTTTGTGTAGATTTTAACTCATGCTGTGTAGATTTTAACACATGTAGTGTGTGTGCTCAGGGACAACACATTTTGTGTAGATTTTAACACATGTTGTGTAGATTTTAACCCGTTTTTTGTAGATTTTAACACATTTAGTGTGTTTGCTCAAGGACAACACATGTTGTGTCAAATTTAACACACAACCTGTGTCGTTTCTTTACACATCTCTGTGTTTATAAGGATTACACATTTTGTGTTACGTTTAACACAACTAATGTGTTAGACAGCAGCAGTGTGTTGTTGAAACCTTTTACACACTAATGTGTTATAGTAACACAACTTGTGTCAGATATGCATCACATGTGACTGTAGTCGGAGAGTATTTGCCAGAGTTCCCGTGTGCTTACAATAGTGTTTGGATGAACACTGACACGTATTGGTAACTTGTGTTTATGTAGTCCAGTGATGTTTAATAGAGTTTGTTTGAACATTTGGATGTTTTAAACATCATTAATCTACATAGACAAGCTCTTATTGAGAATTAACAGAGGTTTGATGTTTCATTTCAGTTTTATTTCAAGTCACCATAATCGTGATTAATGGCTCCTTTATTTGGGCTCTTGACCCTTTACTCTTGTTTTAGTGTTTCTCTGCCTGCTGTAACTGTATTTTAATAAAATACATCTGTTATGGTGACAGAAAATATGATCAGAAGGTTCTTGAAGATGTCATAATCAGCAAGTTATGATCAAGTTTTTGAGTATATGGATGGTGTGCTTTATTTTAATGATTTATTGTTAGTTCTAAAGATTTTGTGAAACTACATCCAGTTATCCAAAAGTGCAGAATAACAAAAAAAGTTTAAAACTACAGCAGAAACCAGTCAAACACAGATATCAAGAATCAGCGTATGGATCTCAATAATGGTGACAAACGAAAAGTTCCATGCCGCAATGCATGCTGGGACTTATAGATGAGCTTTATACTAGAGACATGAAGCTTTGCCACCATTTTTGAGAGTCATATGCTGATTCTTGATGTCTGTTTTTGACTAGTTTCTGCTGCAGCTTTAAACGTTCTCTAAACATATATTTTTAAAAATTATAGCATAAGGTAACATACACCATAATATCATGTAAACACTGAGTATCCGTAATCAAATATAAGTGATCAAATATAAGTTATCTCTTAAACATTAAACTTCTCTTGCTATGTTAAAAAACATCACGTTGAAAAATGATCATTTAATGATCTTTTTCCTCAAGATAATTTCAACTGTTTCAGATGTGCAATATAAATACACAGAAACAGCCAACAGAGAAACAAATGTTAAGGTTAAAGGGTCAAGACCCCAAATAAAGCTGCTACTAATCACGATTCTGGTGACATCAAAACAAACATTCAATGAATCGTCAACACAAAACCTGGTAATTCTCAATAAGTGTTTCTGTAGACGTCTGACAGAAATAAATTGTTTGTTATAATAAATTAGTTATTAATAACAAGTGAAATCAGCATTTGAAAAAAACATTGAAACCGAGGCATGATGTGATTGGCTGCCAAAAACACTCATTAATCTGAAGTTTTTTTATGAATTAAGATTTTATTTATTTATTGTAATGTATTGTTTCATTTATTTTAGAGCTTGTTATGGGATACCATATAAAATATACTACCTCTAATTAGGTTCATAAACACAAACTTCCCTCCACCCATTAAAATTCTATCCAGTTACATTTTAACACACATTGTGTGTTAAAACTACACAACTTGTGTCAAAATACCATCAACACATGATGTGTGTTGTTTTTTAACACATCTCTTTTTAGAGTGTAGTAAAATTCGGACCGATTTGCCCATGGCTGTCGTTGCTATACAACCATGCACTAAGCTCTCCACAATGGCAAAGAAGTTTTAGTAGCGAATGTATTTCCACCACAGAAAAACGCTTGCTGAAGCTCTGCTAAAAGATTTCTTTACGGAGAAGAGAAAAACACCCAAGTGTTTGGGTGCACGTGCACTCCCATGCTGAAAAGATTATGAGCGCGCCTCCCGCGAGCGCGTAATGAGCGCGCTTCCCGTGCGCCTAATCGCCTATTTGAAATAACGACCTCGAGCGGCAAAAGACGCGATACGTGAACTAATCAAGAGACCCCCTTCCCCTTGATATCGCTTCTGTGCACGGCACCTTCTCCGCAAGCAGGGGCGCCATTGCCAATAATTGAATTGAAATGATACAAAATAGAAAACCTTAGCGGGACAGAGGATTTTTTTTAACTGCTCGTGCCGCCCCCCATGTGACATGAAGAGATGCCGCCCCGGGCGACTGCCCGGTTCGCCCGTGCCTAGAACCGCTACTGGCTGGATATCATCTAGCGCTCCCACACTGCAAATGGACAGGAACTCCTTCGCGTACCTTTGGACAGACCGGCCCTCTTGCAAGACTGACGACAGGTATTCTATCATAGCCCGGTTGCTGACGACTGCTGGACCCATATTGTGGTTGGTTGTTCTGTGACGCTGTGCGGAGAAACAGAGCTGAGGCTGGGTCCAAACGCAGTGTAGCTTTATTAAACAAACTTGAAACAAGACACAAAACTAGAAGCAGGACTCGAGAAACTTGAGAGCACCAACGTAACACACATAAATTCAACAACCAACCAAGACAGGGCAGAAACACAGGGCTTAAAACAGGTGAACTAAACAAGATGATAAAACACAGGTGCATGAAATAAACCATAATCAGTCCAGGGTAAAACATGAATGAAACAATAAACTAGGAAGGAGTGCCCCCCAGAGGCTCAAGCGGGCACTCCAGCCGCAGATCGTCACAGCATTGTATAAACTATGAATTGACTATAAATTATAATAAATAATAAATAACAATTTAAAATGTGTATGAACTTTATTGCTGTACTTATTATAATGTGCTACCAGTATAATCAGTGCTACATTACCCACCCAAAATGTTTTTGTACCACCACTGGGGGGTTTTGAGGCAGCACATAATGAGCAACAATGTCCCCTCTTGAATACTGAAAACACAGAGTTATTTGTTAGTTGTGTTGACAAATGGTTCATACTGTAAATAGTATAACATACACTACCATATGTTTACTACTTAAATTTTTATCGATCTTGCATTCCTCGTGTATAAAAGAATAGTATGGTGTTACAAAGTGTGTGGCTTAATGTGATAAAACAAATCTACACTTTAATCTACACACAATAAATAAATTACCTGAGCCTTTCAGAAGTTCCTCTGTCATCGTCAGTCGCAGATGTTTCATGTGCTTCCTGGCTGAGTTTATTGCAAAATGGGAAGGGATACTTGGAAAAGCACCAACAACCTCTTTTGCCATCTACATAATTCAAGATAAGTTCAGGTTTTTTTTTTTTTTTTTTTTCCAGGGGAGATTGTTTCACCACATTAGCAATACATAAAAAAAATAAAAATATACATACTGTACATCTAAGTCCATAAATAATATTTAGTAGACTATTTGGATCATCATTATGTACAGTGACTACTAAATCTAAAAAATTTACTACATTTACAGTATATAGCCTCAATTTACCACTTCCATTCTGCTTTATTGTCTTGGTGCACGTTGATTTAAGACCAAATCAACATTTTGCACCACAAATTTACAGTATAAAAACTGTTAGAGTTTATTATAAGAATTTGTTTTCAGAGTTTAATGAGGAAAACCAACCTGCATTACAAACACTCCACAGCTGTACCCGTCTCCTTGTTTGGAATGGTTAATTAGTCCTCCATTCCATTTTATGTCCACCCAGTCATTTTTACTGAGACAGATTCGTCTCATCTTGAAGAACTCTCTAGGCAGTGTAAATAAAGACAATCATTAACATACTAAATTTAGTCAATCTTTGAGTTTGTTACTTTGAGTCTAAATTTAGAGAAATGTAACAAATCAGAGACAAATCCCTTTCTGCTGTTCTACAGTGAGAGGTTTGTTTCCCGGCTCATATTTTCCCCATCACATCCCCACTCTTCTCCCTATATTGTCCAGTCAATTCTCTATTATCCATAATTATTGTCTTATATCACTTTACACTTAATGATTGTAAGATGCTTGCTATATACATTGAAAGTTAATAGGTAAATTCATTGTAAGTAAAAAATAATGAAATAAAAACCTTATGAGAAGGCTAGTACACTTACACAACAGGAACACCCTGTCTCTGGAACACTAACAGGAAGGATATATTTTTTAAAAAAAATTGTAACATTTTTACAGTAAGATGATTCTGAAGAGCACTACAAACATTTTGGTCTAAAATCTCATATACAATATGTGTTTAGTTTCCCCCATGACAAGAAAACAGAAAAAGTGTCTTCCCACTAGGGGCATATAACAAGCAAAAATCTAACCGAAATCTACTGGCTGCATGCATGGATTTCGCTTCTTCGTCATGTCCCTTTGGATCTATCACAAACACCTGGCTGGATTCTGCATGGAGATACTGTGCAAGATAAATAAAAAAGATGAAACTAAATAGATAATAGATAATTAACAGATAATAGATAACTAAATAGTTAAATCAATTTCATATTTACATTTCATGAAACTAAACTTCATTTATTCATTCATTCACACCACCCTCTTGTGTCTGGTGTAGACACAGACTTTGTTTGTTTATATTTGAATTTTGATGGTTGGTTGGTATTTGAAGTCTTGGCTCATCTGAATTCACCTGAAATATGAACATCCTTTATAGAATAGAGTAACTATGTCTAGTGTATTACACAAGGACCATAAAATGTATTCACCAAAAACATCCAATGATTCTCGTTGACATTCAGGAAACTTATAATTCCCTCGTAGTCATGAAAGTCCACCTGCAATTTCATTGATACATTTCATTGTTAATTAACTGTCTTAAATGATTAAAGATAATAAAAGATAAAGATCATGTTTACCTTTGAGAGAATGTTTCTCCGTACTTTGTCTCTTTCGTCATTAATTATGACATCTGCTGTGTATTGATCTAGTACATAAATTCTATGTCCCTGGTCACTGTTGTTCACTAACACATGCAAATAACATTGGATTGTCTAAGATCAAAAGAGGAAAAATAAATTATAATTTCTTCATTCAGTGTTTCATTGCCATTGATAACATTGTCATCTTTAAATTTCTATATTTCCATATGTTCACAGATTAATTTTCAGTTGCAAAGCATTTCCCAAAGATATGAATAATTTTTTCTTACCTCCCCCATCAGCCATTTATGTGGCTGGAGTGTTTTCAACTCTGAATGATGCAGGATATAAGACATTTTTTTGTCCTTTGACAGTATGATGGCAACAACTATCTCACATGCTTTCTTTGACCACAGAGCTTTGACCTGAAATGGGATATTTGTATATACGTAAAAGATTTTATGAGTTACTTTAATGTAAGCAAGTTTTATTTTCAAATTAGGAATTTAAGATCTACACTCGCTTGTGTCTTTTTAATAAATTACAAACGGCTATTACTGTTACAAATCTTTCGTTCTTAATTTCATGATTTGATCTTTTTTAATTGTTGAACAAAAGCATGATTATGGCATTATTGAGAATGTCATAATACCTGGGCTGATGTGACCTCTGAATGACCCTCTGATGTTTTCTTTGTTTGGCTTATTTTAGGTGGCTTATTTTCTGGTGGATCAAAATCTGACTGATGTCCCACTGATGTTTTCATCTGATGATAGATAGATAGATAGATAGATAGATAGATAGATAGATAGATAGATAGATAGACAGACAGACAGACAGACAGACAGACAGACAGACAGACAGACAGACAGACAGACAGACAGATAGATAGATAGATAGATAGATAGATAGATAGATAGATAGATAGACAATATTACAGTAAATGTGTTATGAGTTACAGTAATATGAACAAAAGCTTTATGGCATGATTGAGAATTTCATATTACCTGGGCTGATGTGACCTCTGAATGACCCTCTGATGTTTTCTTTGTTTTGCATCTTTTTGGTTGGGGCACTACTTCTGGTGGATCAAAATCTGAATGATGTCCCACTGATGTTTTCATCTGATGATAGATAGATAGATAGATAGATAGATAGATAGATAGATAGATAGATAGATAGATAGATAGACAGACAGACAGACAGACAGACAGACAGACAGACAGACAGACAGACAGACAGACAGACAGATAGATAGAGGACGGACGGACGGACGGACAGACAATATAATATAAACATTGTTATGAGCTAATGTGAACAAAAGCTTTATAGCATTATTAAGAATTTCATATTACCTGGGCTGATGTGACCTCTGAATGACCCTCTGATGTTTTCCTTGTTTTGCGTCTTTTTGGTTGGGGCACTACTTCTGGTGGATCAAAATACTTTGAATGATGTTTCACTGATCTTTCAGATAGGGATCTCTTGGCCCATTGCTCCTGTTGTTGGTCAATGGTCTGTTGCTTTGGAGATTCAACTTAGACTACCAAGATTATGCATCATCTGATGTTGTGTATACCTTCCTTGCAGAGAGTTAAACATCTTTGTAATGAAATCAGCTGGCCACAGGAACCTCTTTCTGTGTAATATGTGATTCTTCACGATTGAGAACCATTGCTCCACATGGCAATTTGTCTTCCTTGTTTTGATTTCTTTAGGTCTCTCTTTGGAGAATCTGCTCAGGTCCCCAAGCAACAAGCCACTCCAAAGGGGGAAAATGCCCATGTAATTGGTCATGAGGAAATTGATGATCCCTGGGCAGTAGAATTCATTATTTGTGCCACTCTCTGTCTGTGTGGACCTGTTCTTCTCTAGAACACCATTGAATAAGCGTGTGAAGGGAGATGTGCCACATATTGTATTGATGTTGCTGCTCCTCTCCATGTCTTCCACGTATGGTGGAAGTGTTTCAACCATAGTAGTAGGACTGGACTTCAGGATTTTTTGGTCCAGTGTGTTCTTTGCTGCCATAACTGCATTGGACTTGTTTGCTGACATGAACAACAAAGCCATATCCTGAAAGTGGTTAAGTGCTTCTTGTAGGGTGGTGCTGTTAAGAAGAAGGCCAAAACAATAGGTGGCATATTCCTTTACAGCATACTCGCCAGTTTTCTTAGAAAATCCTTGAGTTACAGCCTTTATTATATGAGAAGAACAAAGATGGATCACTGTGAAATTGAATGAAATTTTCACTTTTTGGCTGACAATCAAATGTGCTCTGTTTAAGTAGGATGAGACGCTTTCTTTATTGAAGGCCAGAAGGACACTACCAATGAGTGCCCAACTAAAATCAGTCTCAACCTGGTGGACCTTCCGTGTTGTTATCTGGCCCAGTTGTCTCGGTGTTTCCATCTGCCAAAATGTGAGAGTTGGTATGGAGTGCTCATTTGATACAAACTCAGACACAGGAAGAGGTGGCTTATCCTTCCCCTTTCCAGGGAGAACAAGAGCATAATAGAGGATCCTTTTGGTTTGATTCGGGATGCGTGACATAACACTGCCTGTAGCATCTAGATGCAATGTGACTGGGGCTGAGTTTTTTAAATGATCTGCCAGTATTCGTAGGCCACAATCTGTGTACAAGTGGACACCAAATGGGTCTACTTGTAAGTGTTGAATATAGCCTGCCACTTGAGAAGTAGTACCACTGCACTCCTTCATTATCTTCTGACAGAGCATCATCTCCATGATAACATCATCGTGGAGTCTGGTGCTTTTCCTGACTTCACTAGATATTACCCTTAAGACATCCATAGAAAGGCATCTGGAGATGTTGCCAGCCAAGATCTCGTCTGGTGGTGTGTTTCTCAGTGATTTATAGTAATGCTGGCTTACTCCTTTTTCTAATGCTGCAGCAATTTTGCCTCTTTTGGTGAATTTGGCATTTCTGAATTTTAAATCTTTATCTTTGTGGGTCACTTCGCCAATTCGTAAAACATGGATGTCAATTTGCTTCTGGCATGGTTTGGGCTTTGTATGAATGGTAAATTTGTATTTTGCTGAGCAATCTTCAAAAGTACAGTTGGCAAGTGCCTTGTAATAAGGTGCTCTTTTTTTACGACTTTTCCATGCATTTTACATGCTGATATTTAAATGCCAGTACACAGCGGCGATTTACTTTTGTGAATGCTTCATACAAGACATCTGTCCAGGACTGTTGTAACTGAGTTAGGCCTGCATGTGGCTTTATTTTTTTCCAGGTTTTTGTTTTTATGGCCACTACAAAACTCTTTGGACCTGGTCTTGTTTTCCTCCATTTTCCCGTGTCTGTCTCATCATCATCATCCTCATCTTCGTCTGCACTTTTGTTTCTGTCTCCAGCCTCATCTTTCCTGTCACAAGTGTGATCCTCGTCCCTTCTTTCCTCGGTACCGATCAGCTTACTGTGCCCTGAAGTCGTATCATCATCCTCATCTTCATCTGCACTTTTGTTTCTGTCTCCAGCCTCATCTTTCCTGTCACTAGTATGATCCTCATCCCTCCTTTCCTCGGTACTGATCAGCTTACTGTGCCCTGAAGTCGTATCGTCATCCTCATCTTCGTCTGCACTTTTGTTTCTGTCTCCAGCCTCATCTTTCCTGTCACTAGTGTGATCCTCGTCCCTCCTATAATAATAATAATAATAATTTGAGTCAATCCCTAATTGCATTTTCTCTAATTGCTTAATAGCTTGCATTTTACTATTATTATTATAATGCACATATTGATGCCTTATTCTGCATGACCATATTCTTACCCTAACCATAACATCCCTTAATTCTAAACTTAACAACTTCTATCAATAAGCATTTATTGCTTGAGTAATAAGACACTAGTCACAAGCTAATAAATACGATGGTAATATGCTGTAAAAGTAGTTTATTATTAACTAGTTGCCTATTAGCATGCCATTACCTTCATAATTATTATGTAACTAATGTCTTTCTGAACACACATGTACTTACACACACTTAGTTCCACTATATACGTATATATATATATATATATATATTATATATAAACACATAGTTACTGCCAATACCAATATCAATATATATATAGCATTTACACGATTGATGCTTGTTATTTTGGTAGTGGCAGTAAGTGCTTGTGTAATAAGACATTAATTACAGGGTAATAACTATGATGGTAATAAGCTATGTGTGCTTAGGCCAAGCTGCTTAATTACTTATGGCACATGGCTCAGCTAATGTCAGGCTACATGAAAAAAAAAAGTTAAGCTAGGTACTATATACTAGGTAGCAATATATTTATATTTAGCTATCCCCTAAACCTGAGAACCCCCCTAAAACTGAGAAAAATACATACTCAAATAAATATGATATTTACCAGAACTGCCTGTTTGAAGCACCTGTTCTCGAACACCTTTTCTGTCCTCGGTCCAAACAGTTTGCAGCCATTTAGCCAGTTTCTTGTCTGGTGAGTGGGAGTTGAAAACGGCTACAGCAAGGGTGGACCACTTTACCTGTCCTTTTCCCACACCATGTCTGAAAAATGTCTGAATAATTTTTTTTCTGCCACCAGCCTTTGTCCAAAGATCATTTTCTTTTTTGTGTTTCCCTTTTTTATATCTGGCCATGATGCCTATAACTGCAGTATGCTAACAACATGCAAGTCTTTCTTAACTGACTGTTGAGCCCCTCCCCCATT